TGGACACCCGAGAAAACCTGAACTCTGTCACAGCCAGCCAGGTTCCTCAGCTGGCTGTGAGAGCGGGCCAGTTTGCAGGTCACATAGCGCTGAGGCTGGTCCATGACCACCTGCTGCAGATGGACCTGAAGAAGTACAACCAGCTCATACGCAGCCACGTGGTTCAGATTAATGCAAGGGTCAAGGCTGTTCAGAGGGTGAGTGCTCACCAGTGTCCTTGTAAATGAAGATAGTATTTACCTTGTTGAGAGCAGGGCTGCAGAAATCAGGAGCAACTTGACCATTGCTGATATATCAGTATTGACATTGATACAATGATGCCAATACAAGTTTTTAAAAAAGGAAACAGAGAAGAGAGAAACACACTTCGACCATGTTATGAGTGTTGATGTTACATAGTTGGTCCACCAGAGGTCATTCTGAGCCTTCGCTGTTGACAACATGTAATTGGAATGCCAGAAACACAACAACTATCTGATTACAGGCCTGTACTTCAAAGCTGGAATTCGTCCTATCCAGGTAACTAAAAGGTTTCTGTATTACAAAGAAGTTTCACTTCTTCTTCATTTTTATTTATATAGCGTCAAATCACAACAGTCGCCTCAAGGCAATTTATATTGTAAGGTAAAGACCTTACAATAATGCAGAGAAAACCCCAACAGTTAGACGACCACCTATTAGATAGCACTTGGCGACAGTGGGAAGGAAGAACTCCCTTTTAACAATAGAAACCTCTTGCATAACCATGATCAGAAATATGCTTTCTCTTTCTAATCCCTGTCAGTACTCTGGCTGCAGCATTTTGGATCAACTGAAGGCTTAATTCCAGTAGTCCAACCTAGAAGTACTAAATGTATGAACTAGTATCAACATTACTTTGAGAACGATGTTTCTAATTTTAGAGATATTGCACAAATGCAAGAAAGCATTTTGTTCAATATACACACTGCAGGACATTTGCTGGTCAAAAATGACTTCAAGATTCCTCACAGTGTTACTGGAGGACAAGTTAAGCCATCTATCCTAATGGCATATCCCAGCTACCATGGGGAAGTATACCTTGACCAGGACAACAGTCTGTTGCAGGGCTTATGTAAGCATGTGTTATGTAAACAGAATTGGTTTAACACAGAAACCTGTGGAACTCCATAATTAACCTTGGTGTGTGAAATAAGACTTCCCATTTACATGAACAAATTGTACTGTATTAGATGGATATGATTCAAATCAATGCAGCACACTTACAGCATGCTCTAATGGCTGAAATAAAATATTATGGTCAACAGTATTGAACGCTGCACTGAGGTCTAGCAGGACAAGAACAGAGGGCATAAGAAGATCATTAGTACCCTTCACTAAAGCTGTTTCTGTGCTGTGAATTCTGAAACCTGACTGAAACTCTTCAAATAAACAATTCCTCTGGAGATGATCACTTAGCTGTTTTACTCTTTCAAGAACCTTTGAGATAAAGGAAGGTTGGATGATAGAGATGTGATAGTGAGTCTGAGAGATTAAGAGTTGAGATATTAGGTCTAAGTCACACAGTTGGCATTTTGCCGGCATTTCTTTCTGCCTTCAAATAGACTAAACTTTATTTATATTGCAGCTGTTTTCAGTCTTATAGTCTTCAGTCTTAGCCTGGATATGCTAAGTTCGCTTTGGGCTCTGAGCAGAGTCGGGCAAAGCGTAAACGATTAATCCAAGACTTAATTAGAGTAAAAACTACATGAAACTTACATTTTTATTTTATTAATTAAGGACTCATTAACAACTACATAAAAAGGAAACGTTATATTTAGTTAAATGAAATCTATTTATCTAGTTGAAAGCAAGTTGGAGAGATGTAGAGTAACGTCACCTCTCTTACTCTTTTGCCCAGACTCTGGTCAGATCTTGCACGTCCAGTTACCAAATTGAGTTTATTGTGAAAACTAAATCACTCCTGCATATTTGTCTGCTTCCAGTTGCAGCCCCAGCTGTTGCCCAAGACCCTGACTGGGCAGTGGTTGGTCATGGCCTCTGGCTCCTACAACCGTGTCTCTAACATATTGACAGCTGACATCCAAAACAGCGACCTGGAAAACGTGGAGATGTGCCGCATGATCAATGACCGCATCATGACGGTAAGGCTTCCAACACTCAGTAATTCTTCCTGAGAAATTCTGTGGAAAATATGGATATATCTTAGCAATTGTTGCTGTTATTGTAAATATTTCCTTCTTTTGAACTGATAATTATTAATTCAACTGGTGAATCAACACAGCTAATGAGGTGTTGGCTTATAAAGTGGAGACAACAATGAAGCTAAAGCTAAGCTGCTATCTGAGCTTTTGGCCAAAGGATTTCATATATTTTAGTGTGGTTTAGCTACTTTTGTGTCATATTTAAAATGGAATACGTCATATTTTATTTTGCTGCATTACTTTTTATCTACTGTAAAGTGCAATAGTATTCAAGGTAGTTTTCTTTTTAGCTGCTAATTGCCTCCTTTTATATGACAGAAAAGTCTGGTGACCCAGAACACTTTTAACAAACTCCTCCATGTTCCTCCTCCTGTTACTATAGGTGGAAAGGAACTTCCTGTCACCCTACGTTTCTCCGATAGACAGCCCCTTTCGCCACATCCTGCTGGGCTCCGGCCCCCACACCCTCAAAGCCCTGACCAACCACCTCGACGCTCTGAAGTCTGCCAGCCCAGAGGCCAACGCCGAGCTGTTCCGCAACAAGCTTGCCCAGGCGACCTGGACCATTCAGGCCTGTGCCAACTCCCTAGCAGGGGACATCTGGTCTCTGGATAATGAAATCTAGAAAAGTCCTTTGCCCTCCCTTGTTCATGGCTTGGCCCTCTTATTACAACAGGCGGTGTGACAGCCAGTATGATGGTGTGATTAACAGACAGTTTTTTAATGGATTTCCACAAAGTCATCACATCTGTTCCAGTGTTAATTTTCCTTTTTCTAAAATTTTCCATAAAACCAATATATGATATGTCATGATAGAAAATATGTGAGCCTTCCGCTTAAAAAAACTTGCACAAAGAAAAAAACAAATCTTGAATTTGAACCTGTGGTATTTTAAATATCACGATCTTCAATACTTTGGCCCTCATCATGTCATGCCAATATCATAGCTACAAGCCACTGAGCACAGATGGTTGGTGTGCCAGTGGTTGGAAAGTGGTCCTGCCATCTGAATCCAAAGACGCTTCTGAGGCACCGCGTGTTGAACGAGTTGAGTCGTCTCATTTAGGTGATCCAGGTTTCACGTCCATACAGTAAGGGGCTGTTGACACAGGGCTGCTACACTTTGATCTTTGTGTGGTCAGTCAGCACTTTATTTTTACACACCCTGCAGGACAATAAGGCCACGATAGTGTTTACCTTCCTGAGTCATCAACTGAGTTCCATATTAAGTGAGAGGGTAGTGTTGATGGTAGAACCCAGGAAAGTTATTTTAACTGCACGGGTGCAGATATTCATAGTGATGGAGGGAGGGGTGAGGCACAGATGTTCATCTTTTTTCTGGCTAACAATGAGCCCAAACTACTTACTCAAAGATTAGAGGATGCTCGTCAGTCTCTGGAGGATAGCCTCAGTGTGGGCCACGAGGGTAAAGAGCATCTCCCTGATTAAGTACTATCCTGACTTTGGTCTTCAAGCACAGAAAACAGCAAATGTGACTATGACTTTGACCTTTTTGGGTAAGGACTAATTAGGATCTCATTGTGTGCATATTTAGCTAAAAAAATGACAAATACTGTAGGAGGAGTAGCGATTATTGATTATGAAAGGATGGACGGACAATGTATACCTCTGGCTTAAGCTTATCCTTTGTCCTATACCATGGAGAACATCAGTCCTTTGGCTGGATGAAATAAAAATGTAAAATAACCATCACAATATCACTTTAGCAAAAGCATCCCAGAGTACCTGATATTAAAATCAGAGGCCAGAGCTTTTTCATGTGATGGATCATCTAAAGAAGCACAGTTTCTGAACCATCGTTTCAGGTCATAAAAATTCACTATCATTACCAGCTGTTGCTAATGTCTGGATTAGCTGGGATGTCTTCTTGTCCAATATTGTCTGGAAAACTTTAAGCTAACTGCAGTGGTTTCATCCTGATTTGTTTGAAAAAATAATAAAGGTGGCACCTCACTCTTCTCTTTTTATTGCATTTGTTAAACCTGCTTCTGCTTGTTTCACCTTAAAGTACTGCAATTTTAGCTAAAATTGGAAGAGACCACTAGCCTCAACAGTGTAGGGGAGTAGGGCACGTGAAGTAATGACTACTGTATTCTACCAAAGATACGATTTTACGACAAAAAATGCACTTATTTGGGTACATATATGGTTTCAAGGTGTAAGGTTTAAGAGCCCATTTCATCCGGCCCAGCTGATCTGTTCCATCTTCAAGCTCTACTATTGAAGGAATTTTGGCTTTAAAGAAAGGAGTGTTACAAACACTTACCATGGCCACAGCATTGTGGTCCAGTATTATTTCCATAACTAATCACCACTCTACACTGTGGATTTAGTTTGAATGAATAAAACTACATTTTACCTTTTGATGAATTTGTTGAGATTTCCTTTGTTCCTTTTTTTTGTTTCATGTCTCCAATGGAGAGCCGAGCTTCTGTATGCTGAAAGAGGTTCAGATAATTTTCTTGTTTTCTGTTAAAATCAAAAGTTGGTGAACTTGGAAAAAAAACGTAAAATTCCTTTGTGCTTGCAAATTGTTAAAATATTCAGCTAAAAAAAACAAATAAACTGTGAACACATTTTCTTGGCCTTACAGTTTTCTTCTTCAATAAACACAACTATTTGAGTTTTGCTTAATTTTTCACATTGAGGTGTAGTAGAGGTGAGTGGACTCATCCAAATATCACTAGTATCGATACCAACACTGTTATTGGTATTGGACTGATAGTAACACTAAGTATGTAGCCCACTGAAGTGTGTTAAATGATTTAAAATAAAAATGAACCTCAAATGTGCAATGTAAAAAATGCCTATTTTATTTATAGCCTATGGAATATTTAAATGACCGAAGTCGAAAAACAAAGTTTTAAAATAGAAAAATTATATATTTTAAACTGAAGCATGTAAAAGATCCTCGATGGCGTAGACAGATAAAGTAAAGCTGGAAATTGGCTGAATATGTTCCATTTAAATGTGAATTTGCAAAGTCTGACTTTATGCAACTTAATAGTTAATAAGTATTCATGTCAATGATTAATTAGTTTTTCGTTTCTTTTTTGTCTGTATTAAAGCCCATTCATTTAGTGTCCTTTTTCAAAATGATCCCGTAAACACAAAAAGCTGCTGTGACACAATTTGACCGGAAGATGGACACAAAGTAAAGAAATCGTTAGTGCATCATTTGGCATTTGTGCTTTTTCCAGCGTGTTCAGGCAGGTGAATTTAATTCAAATCGGACCGTCAGCGGCTCCTAAACGTTTTATTCTCAATGACTTTCGGAATAACGTACGTCCGAAAAAGATTGTTTGTTATAAATGAGCTGATTTGTCATAAAAACCTATCATCTATGTTAGTTCACAGAGTGCGTTCACCACCACCAAATCATAGCGCATTCTTCTAATGACTTGGGCAGCTTTTAATTGTATCAGGGTATAAAATCAAGGGGAACAGGAGCTATAGGTCCTACCTCATTCCCTATCCCTGTTGTTCTCTTTAAATACACCCAGTTGTTCTTTGTAGGAATCTCTGTAAGTGAAATATCTGAACACGTCCACAGAGGCTTCATTTCAGTTTGCAGAGACAACTGTCAGCAAGGTGGTAGCATGAAAAATCTAAATGGGAGAATATTTCTTTAAGAGTGGGCTGACAGAGTGAATGCGCAACAGAGATATGAGAAAATAAAAGACGTCTCACTTCGCTACTTATTCCTGCGGTGAAACAAACCAACCTACAAAAATGAAACACTATGTAGTGCTTTAGTAAAAAAGGGAAATGACTGGCAGATCGCTTGAAACATAACTTGATAGATAGATAGATAGATAGATAGATAGATAGATAGATAGATAGATAGATAGATAGATAGATAGATAGATAGATAGATAGATCAGGCACTCCTCACTGTGCCTTTAGTGGCTCTGCCATTTTTAATTGTATGTCATAATAATGTAAAGCATGACTGTGTTATGAAGCGATACTTATCAGCTAATTAATGAGTGAGCAAGCAAGGTGACTATTTCCTCAGTTCTATAATTAAAATATCATGAATGAGACAATCAGTTGACTAATTGGACCTTATTTATTTTTAATAAAGCCTTCCGTATTTTTGCATGTTTTTTTCATTTTAATATATATTTTAAATGCCTCCTTATGCAAATACAAATAAATTAAATACATAAATACACATAAATTCAGATAAATGAAACAATGACTGCTCTTTAATGGAGTTATCCATCGGTAAACGTATAGAAGATCTTTGTGTTGTACAAGGACAGCGCAGAACCGACGCCAGCAGCCTCTGCATTCATACCCGGGCAGTATTTCGGATACTGCTGCTGTGTAAGCATTCAGCAAACTTTCATCAGCTTCATCCACTCCACAGGAGAAGGAGCTCTCGGGGATGCCAGCACCTCTTCATTTGTAGAAAGTTTTTTGGAGGCCAAATCAATGAAATAATAGTAACATTAAAGAGAGGGCTACAGGAGCGTAAGGTGACAGGAACCGAGACTGACAGGTAGGTGCACTCATGAAACAGAAGTGACTAACAGAGTAGTAAACTTTACTTGCAGTCTTCATTTAGTTGTGGAAATGTTAGCTTCGCAGTTAAAGTTCAAGTACTTAGTTGTCAGACGGCCACTTGTCCAGGTCCTCAAATGCAACGCGAGCCGGTTAAATAGGCTTGGTGGCGGGAAGGAGGCAGCAGGTGAGAGCTGCTGTCACCGAGTCTCTGTTGTGAAAGCCCGGAGCACTTTAGTTGCAACAACGCAGGTCACAGAGGGGGCCAACCTGACCAGCTTGTACATGTACGTGAGTTTTATATGCGGATAGCTGTCTCAGGGTCCGGGCAGAGGCTCAGGCGAGGAGGGCACCCAGGTGTGCTTAGTTAGCCTAACAGGTCCTCTTTACTGAAGCAAGTCACATAGAAGTATGAAAAAGGCAAAAGGTGATGTCAAGTGTCTATAAAATGTCTATTTTTCTTAAAGGTAGTGTGTTTCTATACGCGCACTTGACCTGTTTCTGCCTCTTTAACTTGCTTACACAGCGATACAAACATTTCTGTTTAAGCTCTGACTTGGATAAATACAGCACACCTGACCAGTGAAGGAGTCACGCAGCACATGATATCAATGCCTACACTCACTGCAAATGTATAATTACACAGTCTAGAATGAGGAGTCTGTGTAGGGATTTCAGCCAATGCATTCAAATAGTTAAATAAGATCCGCAAACATCCTCCAGCCCTTTGCTTGTATATAAGGCGCGCGGCAAATGAAAGGGAAAAACCGTGATAAAGTGTCTTTAGTAAGTTGTTTCAGCTTTGATGCACATTGGCATTGATGCCCCCAAGAAGTGGAACACTTTTTCTTCCAAAAGATGTTCCATAATTTAGTGTTTTCATGACATCCATAGGTCCTTAAATCGTTTTACATTGATGGTCACATACAGCCCACTTTGATCTTAAGTGGGCCGAACCACTGACACACCCCTTTCAGTCAGTGTAAAGACCTTTGATTACACATTTAATCCCTGAGATATTTAAATATAAGACAAAGAAGTGCAATTTCAACAGCAGAGCATACATTTTTGACTTTTAACTGTATTTTCATAACTTTTCCTGCTGATAAATACATCTCTCATAGCCATTCTTACTAAAATAAAGTAATGAAGTAATAGGTATACAGAGCTGCCAGAACTTTTTCTTGAATTTTGCACATTTATTTCTTATGATTTCAGTGTGAGGAGCTGTGCTGACACATTTCCTTGATTTATTACAGCAGTACTTATTTTCTACACGTTTAAACTCGGGGATTAAATGTGTAGAAAAAGTGAGATGCATGTTTGAACTTGTAATTCTTTTTCCTATATTAAGATATCTGAGGTAAAGGAGGGTTTCACTAGTCTGGCCCACTTAAGATCAAAGTGGGCTGTATGTGCCTTCGCTGGTACATAGTGGAAAAAACAATAACACTTCTGTCATTATTTATCATTTATTTAATTACTTTGGTGTAATATGGACGTCACCGGGGATGTCTTTATCCTTATCTTAGGAAAAGCTGTAAAACCTATGAAAATACAGTTACAATTTTATGCCCTCCTTCACATTGCCGAAAGCTATCCAGTGGGCCAGATTCGTGTCTTCTTTGTCGGGCCAATTCTGGCCTCCGGGCCTTAGGTTTGACACCCCTGCCTAAAATCATTCAGTGCCACCTCCTTCCATACGGATGGTTGTCTTGTCATCCCATCAAGACAGAACAGTTTCATTATGGGATGTTGAAACGGCCTGTCTCGTCTCGTCAATCAAACCAACCCTTAAGAGTAAAAAAGAAAAAATGCATTGAACTTCACAGAGTGAAACTATGCAGCTCAGCCTCAGCTCTTGTTCCCACTTGCTGTACGTTATCTTCCCGTCTTCCGCTTCTTTCTCTCACCCACATGCGTGCACACATGACAAACCCCGGTGTCGGATAGGAGGCCTGAGGGCAGCAGAACAAAGCTCGCTACCCTCTACACTGTAAATCTAACCTCAGCTGACCCGGACTCTGCATACCACAAAACACATACACGCGATACCTCCATTATGTGTCCTTTCACTGCAGATGCACTCTGTAGGCTTCATGTCTGCACTGCTCACACACACCTGTCACATCGCACACGTTCTTCTGTAATAGCTGTCATTATCTTTGTAGCCTGTGAGGAGGGTTTATAGCTTTATGCTTAGCATTATGCAAGGCATTTGCACATAAGTGATTTTTTTTTTTTTTTTTTTTAAGTGGCCAATTGATTTTAATGGTTTGACAGTAAAATCAAAATGAGCCTCTGTCTGCTGACAAAGTCCAGGTCAGGTTTTGACATCTGTTATTGTTGTCATTGGAAATCACATCAATCATGAGTGTGAACTCTTATTTAATATACATCTGACTATTAAAAACGCGTTAACCTTTTTATGGTTTTTCTCATTTTCTCACAGGTGATATGTGAGTGATACATAAGACTGATAACAATATCTGGGGATTTTTCTTTTTCTTTCAGACACATGAAACAGTTTTGCTAAAATTTGTTAGGGATAGTTATTTGGTCCTTACTGAAATAATGTAACACAATTTAGGTAAAAAAAATCAACTTGTCCTGTTGTCACGTATTACTTGTTTATGCACGGTTCAACTTCTTGTTCTAAACCTGCTGCCAACAGGGAAAAGTGCCCTCTGGTGGACAAACCACTAATAACATGGTTGAAGGGTGTTTCTTTTTTTGCTTTTAAAATTTTCATTCATTCGCTGGTAAATGAAAATTTATCAGAAAAAAAAACATTAAAATGTTCAGTTTCCAGTGAGCCAAGAAGCTAGACTTCAGACTGGCCTGGATGCTTTGGCTGTGACTACATCTTGTTTGCGGCAGGCAGCCAGTCAGAATAAAGGTGACTCAAAAGGAGCGGCGATGGCGCGAAAACTGCTTTTTTTAGACCATAGATGCATTTGTTCAACACGGAGAAGATTAGAGTCACCCTTGCAGTTTCAGTCAGACTTCCTGTGGTACAACTGTTGCTTGATCAGTATAACTGTGGCCTTCACACATTATTATTATTATA